CAAAAGAAATTGTCACGAACATAGTTGTTGTTTGCCCGACATGTGAGGGTTCTCGATGCCAACCAGGAACAGGGACAATGGCATGCCCCAACTGCCGAGGCACAGGAGCGGAAACCGTCAGCACAGGCCCCTTTGTTATGCGGTCAACGTGTAGGCGTTGTCAAGGCACAGGAACTGTTGTTCGGTACCCTTGTCGGGCATGCGAGGGCACGGGCCAAACTGTCGGCCGACAGCAAGTAAAGATTGCCATTCCACCCGGTAGGTCTGCATTTTGCCATTGATACAAGAATGGTTGGTGCATCTACTGACAATGACGTGTCTTGTAAAATGTTAACTGAAATTCTGAAATGAGTTTTGGATTTGAAAGAATTTCTTCAGTGAGATTTCAATATTGATTTTCATGCAAAATAATCCCAAGTCAAGCTAGAATGCAAGCTTTTAAATGCATTTTTTCAAACGCCTACAAAAACAGTCAGTAAAAAAGACTACTGAATTGATATGCATTGTTTCTATTTATTTTCAATGGATTCATAAGTAAAAGCATATTTAATTGAGGTAGTGTGCAAAAATATGTTGCTTGTACCCATTCGATGGCAAATAATTTATTTCTGCCGGTTTAAAACAAATGCTTCCAATCTCGAATAATTTTGAGCCCCACCTGCTGTTGCATTCGCGCTTACGATTTACTGTCTACAAGCTGTATGCTTTCCATATAGGGAAGATCGCGTATGCCATGTTTATACTTAATGCTTTATAACGAGCACTAATAAACGTAGAGGTATGATGCTATTTTAGTAGACATTGCACGGTCTTTCAAAATCTAAGTCACATACTTTGCAAACGGCAAACACGTATTGAATAGATTTCCGAATTTGGATTCTCATTGCGTCGTCAAGTCTGTGGATAAAATACAACAGTTGTTACCTGTCGGAGCATGAAATGGTCAATTTAAAAAATCCCATCAACCAATTGTAATTTGCTGCATTTGTCTCCACTTGTCATTATTTTGGATGTGGTATCCAAATGTATATACCCATTTATGCATCTCTCGGGAGTAAGTGGCCTTTGTTGGACAGACGCCAACGATGCCAGTTACTTTCCGGGTAACCTTGCGCCTTCTTTTGTACCCCTATTGTCTCGCATCCTCATCGAGTGTTTTTAAGTGAGTGGGGCAGATTTCTGTTCTGGCCATGATAACGTGCATCCCAAATAATGCTCCGGATTTTGTAGACGACTGACTATTGAGATAAAGAATCCCACCATAAAGGTGCGCAAGCCAAATTTTTAATGTTACCGTTTGCATCGCCTCTATTTCTAGCTGTATTCTTACGGGTTAGGATAATTATTTACATGCGTTGTTTCAAGTATAGTACAGTCAGTGACCGATCTCATGGAATGCTAGCAGGCATTCTGATATGAATGTTCAATCAGGAAGGACTATCTAAGTGTGGTTTTAATGTTAATTATCATGCAGCATGATTTAGTTATTTCAGATTCGGCAGGATGCTGGCTTGCCGACTGTCTGCGAAGACCGCACTCAATAAAAAAGGCTACTTAGGTAGCACGCATATTTTATTGACTTTGAGGATCCTTAGATTAAAAAAACATCTTCCTAAAAACGCACAAAAATAGTCTTTCTTGTACTCACCTTACTAAAGTGTTTATTTAGGTTTTCGAAAAGTTTGTTATTATGAGCTTTTTAAGACGGTGCAATCAAGGCCCTTTCAAATGGCATCATATTTGTCTTACTTACTTGTACTTGTAACGGCATTCACCTCGGGCGGGTTGAGCCGGC